TTCACTATGTATTAGAAGTAAAAAATATAATATTCTACGCCATGATATACATTCAAAAATAGCTAGTCCGACTTCACGCTCCAAGAGCGTCTAGTCTTACATGGATTGCGTGCGGAGACACGATTCAGTCCAGTGTCGGGAGTGTCAAAAATTGATCGTAAAGTATTCAACATAAATAAAACTGGTGTTTAAGGGCTTTATATTACATGTAAAAGAATAGCATTTTTCGTAGATTTTGCTCCACGACGCCAGGCGTACAGCGACGCTATTTTTGGGTTCATTTCAGCATGTTTAGCCATAGGTCAACAGGAATGTCAAATTGCGATAAATTTCAGATGCAGCTATTTAGATCAGGAAATATAATATATAAAAACACAGAAAATGTCAATCGATATCCAGCGTGATTTTAAAAAAACTAAACAAAAACCTCGCAGCTTCATTTATAACCACGTAATATTTTATTAGGAGAGTTGCTATACAAACACGGCTGATCTTACTGTGTCATTGTAATGCATACCGATACTTTGTTTTTCCATGCTCACTTTTTTTATTAATAATTTGTTTTGTTTTTTTAAGTTTTGACCTAATTATATGTAACCTATCCGCGTTATGCTTACATGGCGTGACTTTCAATCCATCAAATGATTGACAGTTGGGCTAGTCAATGTCATTAGTACAACACGATCCTGCATGCTTGGAGTGATTCGCCAAATACAAGAAGATCTTCGCTTGTAATTGCCTAAGTAAGTTAAGTTTATTCTCATACTATTTTAAGAATTCCGCTGTACTGCTCTTCMATGAGAAATACTTCGAAAAAAGCTGTCAAATGCTATGAACATGTTGAAACTTTATACAGTAGATTTTCCAAAGGATTTCAGTGATTATGGAAAGCATTGACCATAACGTGAGAATTGATTACAACGACACTATCGAATGCCCTCTCTTTTTCACACGAAGTAAGCCATTGCAGTTAATCACTACAAACAGTTTCTCTTCTAGATGTTAGATGGTCTGAATTAAAAAACTGCTATTACGAATTACAAATGATCTTCAGCTTCATCATATATGACCTTCAATGAAATGACACGTAATCTCTTCTTGAAGACGTGAAACCTTTACTTTAACACAGATACCCTGGTATGGATAGTCTGTGCGAATCCTCCTTCACTATTAAGATGAATGGAGTTTATAGTGTGTCATGGCATGGGCACAGGGAGCCCACGCTAAGCTGATTTGCTTTTTAACGGTGCTCAGTTACACCAAGTGATGTCATAAATTTACTCCACTTTTCTTTTTAGATTTTTCATTCTTTATTTATTTATTCCATGACAAGTAAAAACATCGCAATGAATAAAGTTTTTTTCTGTTATTATATTTTATGGTAGATTTTACGAAGTGGTGGCAAGATGTCCAAACTGAGCTACCAGTATAACCCCGATAAGAGTCAACATGATGGTCGAGTGTTTCATCAACTGAGCTACCAGCATAACCCCGATAAGAGTCAACATGATGGTCGAGTGTTTCATCAACTGCTGGACTCCAAGGCTGAGAATAATCCAGACACTGAAGCAATTATCATGTATGACATGGACTTGAATCGATCGGCCATGACATTTGCTGAATACAGGGACAGGTTGTAATAGCTATGAACATATAACAACACTGATGAAGAGTCTTATTCAAGGGCGGATCCAGGGGGGGGTGTTGTCCCTTCTTTGAGCATAAAAAGTAAACTGTTATTTTCTGTTCTTTATAACAAATAAAGCCTATTTAGCCTCCCTTAAAACCATTTAGTACCCCCCTTAAAATTTCAGCTGGATCCGCCTTTGTTATTATATATTAACAGTTGTTCA